AACAGGACAGGGTGAGGACAACTCTACTGAAAACTAGCGTTTGAGTTGTCGTACATGATAATTTGGTCAAGACATAAAAGAAGATTGAGATCAGCACCACTATTTGGGATATTATAGGGTTGATGCTTGTTACAGTCTGTTAGAATTTTGAAGATTAAATTTTTTTAATTCTAGAAAAAAGTACAGTGATATTGTTCCATAAACAGGTTAACAAATAAATAAAACGTATTATTCAGTCAATCAAAACATTTATTTATTACTTACCGTAATAAATTTTAAACTTAAAGTAAAATTAAAGATCACTTTCACCAACGTATAGTAAATTTACCCTTCCACAATTGTGAATACTGTTTACAAATATTACAGTTATGTAAAAACAATCCAACTTATATACAGACTTGTCAAAATATCACTGGAAAATCGCAGCCTTTTTCTTATAACCTATAGACATCCTAATTACCATAATGAAATTTTTACAACGCAAATGATCTGTTTGCATTTAATCAAATACCAGATGTTGAAAATAGGTTGTTTGCATACATTAAAAATACTAGTCTACAGTAAGTTGTTGATCTTTTAACCTAGTTTAGTCGGTACTAATGGTACGCCCACTTTACAGCGGCGCGGGTTACTCTGGGGAGGGGGGGTGGCAGGGAGAGGGGTGGGAGAGCATTTTATTGCAGAAAACGTGATGATTCATCATGGGCAAAAAGGGGAATAAGTTCCTACCGTCGATAGCAGAAAGAAAATGACATACTGCGGGAAGTGTTCAGTAGTCAAACAAGTGGCGACGTCAATGGACCCGAACGCTAGCCTGTACACACGAACGCTAGCCTGTACACACGAACGCTAGCCTGTACACACGAAAGCTAGACTGTACACACGAACGCTAGCCTGTACACACGAACGCTAGACTGTACACACGAACGCTAGCCTGTACACACGAACGCTAGCCTGTACACACGAACGCTAGACTGTACACACGAACGCTAGCCTGTACACACGAACGCTAGCCTGTACACACGAACGCAAGCCTGTACACACTTACTTACTTGATCCTCGTCCCTCCCTGTGGAGTACAGGGCAGCAACAGCTCACAGCCAATGTGTTAGGATTCAATACCTGATTTAGAACGTTTTTCATTTTATAAAATTATATAAAGAAAATTAAAGTCCGCATATAATTATGAATTTTAATCATGGTCGTATTTAGGTCCCCTAAATGCCCCCTTCTCGCAATATCTTCTGCAGCACGTTAGTTCTGCCGTTTATAGCGGCTGTCACCCGCACTTTAGTTCCGCCCTTCTTCTTTTTCACACTTGCGCGATCAGCGTAAATATTTTCAGCGTCACGCTTCACTGAACAAAAACAGAGACTCGTGCCGTGGTGGGTTTCAGGCGGTGTAGGTGTTCGACTTGTGTTGTTTTGTAGGTATAGCTCTGTTGTTGTATAGATAACATTATTGTTGTAGTTGTTACACTGTTGTTGTAGATGTCACCCTATTGTAGGTGTTACACTGATGTTATATGTGTTACACTGTTGTAGGTGTTACACTATTGTAGGTATTACACTGTTGTTGTAGGTGTTATACTGTTGTTGTAGGTGTTACACTGTTGTTGTAGGTGGTACACTGTTGTAGTAGGCGTTACACTGTTATTGTAGGTAAACTGTTTCTCGCCCCCCCCCCCCCCCCACACACAAACTATCAACACACTCCCATATCTGCAGGATAAATCTCTCAAGTTTTCATACAACACGGTCTACTTGACTCACTTTTAGAACATAACGAAGTTCTTTTATCAAACAATAAATCTCTCAAGTTTCCACACGGCCTACTTGACTCACTTTAAGAACATAACGAAGTTCTTTTATCAAACAATAAATCTCTCAAGTTTCCATACAAAACTGTCTACTTGACTCACTTTAAGAACATAACGAAGTTCTTTTATCAAACTATAAATCTCTCAAGTTTCCACACTGTCTACTTGACTCACTTTTAGAACAAAACGAAGTTCTTTTATCAAACAATAAATCCCTCAAGTTTCCATACAACACTGTCTACTTGACTCACTTTAAGAACATAACAAAGTTCTTTTATCAAACAATAAATCTCTCAAGTTTCCACACAACACGGTCGACTTGACTCACTTTAAGAACATAACGAAGTTCTTTTATCAAACAAAAAATATCGTGCAAGTTCAGATAGGAGTGTAAGTAAAATTATGGGCCTAGACGTTAGCTGGCCTGTTTGTAGCACGTCTTTGTGCTTGCGCCTCACACGATCAGATACCTGGATTATAGTAATTAGTCAGATAATGGGAATATGATAATTAGTATTTTTACTGCCAGTCTTTGGTTGTACCTTGTAGTTTTGTTGAGGTCAGGTAGACGGTACAACTGATCACGTAGGTAGCTGGTACAACACTATCACTCTTCGAAGGTAATTTTATCGTTGGCTATTACTTGTTTTTACATCCAATACCTTATACATTTTACTTTCCTATACTATTCTACACCTACATACCTTCATTCAAGCACAAAAATATCATTACAATATATATCATTACAATATATATCATTACAATATATATATATATATATATATATATATATATATATATATATATATATATATATATATATATATATATATATATATATATATATATATATATATGTATATGTATATGTATATGTATATGGTCAGTGTTCGAGTTCAGGTGTATTTGCACTTTGCAGTAAGCTTGGAAATTAGAGCTCTTCTGAAAACAAAATCCTCTCATTTGCACTAGCCACTAGTAACATTCGCCAGCTGACGACATTATATTTAAAGCGGGGGGGGGGGGGGGGGGGGGGGGGGGTGTGACAACACATTTAATTTGTGATAACACATTCATTCTCTTAACAATTAGCTAGTTAAATATGGTATTATCATTACAAGTCATCTTGTATCTACGCGTATAATTTTACAAGTTCCTTGTCCATGATAAACGATTATCAAGCAGTACAAATACATTCAACAGAAAACATGTATCTACGAGAAAAATGGCCCGTTGAGGAAGGATACAACGGGCGCTAGGCTGATAGTGCTGTCTCTTTTCTCTAAACTAAAACCACCCCACCCCCCCCCCCCCCCCCACACACACACACACCACCCACCCCACCCCCACCCCCCCCAAAAAAAACATGTCTACCGTCCCATTCAACGAAATATAATTATATACTTTTTCCAGTGCCCGCCCCCTCCCCGAAAATTCTACCCCCGCCACCGAAAATTTCAAGTACCTCCACCCCTCTCCGGGGAGGAAAAAGTCTAAACTAAAACCACCCCACCCCCACACACACCACCCCCCACCCCCCACCCCCAAAAAAAAAAACATGTTTACCGTCCCATTCAACGAAATATAATTATATACTTTTTCCAGTGCCCGCCCCCTCCCCGAAAATTCTACCCCCCGCCACCGAAAATTTCAAGTACCCCCACCCCTCTCCGGGGAGGAAAAAGTCTAAATTAAAACCAGACGTTCTTACGCGGGGGTGGGGCTTCGCCCCTACCCGAAGAATTGTATTAAAGAAACTCTTCACGCAAACCACTTAGATTAGACCAAATTGCTTTGTATTGAATGTTTACTCGATAATCAATGACGTCATATTAATGTGTGCACTATCCGGCTTGAGATTATTTTCTACTCTGTGCTAAATGTGTCGTCGTCATACTTCGTTTTTTCGAATTACTATGCATGTTTTTATTTTCCTTGTGTTTTCTCTAGAGCGTTCTTGTCAGATAGATAGATAGATAGACAGACAGCGAAACTATTATTATAGATGTTATACAAAACTTGGTATATTTCTGGTGTGACATACATTATTGTTACATTGGCTTCACAATTTTGTATTTTCCACAACAACAACGTAACAACAATTCATATACGCTTGAGATTAAAGATTCACTTAACTCTTAAATTTTAATCGCCTTGTATATTTTAATTCGGGATAGTAATAAAGATGTATAATTAACGAAATACCAGCAGACCTTACAATCTACAATAGTCTTAAAAACCCCATGAAATCATGCTAATTCTTTTTTTTAAAATCTTTTTAAAAATATGGCTAGCGATAAAACTATAGTTACATTTTGAAAACTTAAAGCTGTTTGGGAACCTTATCATTTTCATATTTTTGTATTGAATATAAGCCGTTGAAAAGGCGTTTTGAATTATTTTAAATAATTCAAATATTTAAAAAACCGACCTCAACCCCTCCTTGAAATCAACCGGAATGGCCAGGGAAAGCAAAACAATGAAAGTAACAACAATTGTTTTCAATGATAAAATACACAATAGCGTTCAATGGTTTTATAGCTTAGTAGTTTATTTATATTAAATAAAATAACATCCCCTATCACCACCACACCTTGATTCTAATAATCCAAATAAAAAATAAAAGTGTTTGCTAAATTACTATTACATTAGTAGTAATTTTTTTTTAATTATTTCTAGCCATAATGAAACCGGAAGTAATTTTGTACTTTTTACACACATGTTGTAAAGTATCCAATTTTAGTTTTAAAATATGATTTCTGGTAAAAAAAATTTCGAACCATGTCCATATGGAATCAGCTTTTCAAACCTATCCTAGATTACCCAGAAAACAAAAATCTATGGGTTATTTTCCTTAATGCAATAATTTATATTAGTTTTATGAAATAAATATTTAAAATATATTTTTAAAATTTAAACATTTAAAAAAGCGAGATTTTAAAAAGAAATTAAAAATCGGAAAAAAATGATTTGACACACTTGCCAATAAGACACGTTTCTGTAGCTTTAAAGTGTGCCCAATATATTTACAACTGAGATATGAGAGTTACAAGTGTCGTTCTGTTACCTCATGGGACGTCAGCTGACTGACAGTAACACTGACATGTCAGAATGATATTTCTGTCACGTGGGATCCCCCACTGACAACACTATCTAATGTAGAGTCCCACTGGGCCATCTGTCTAGTGGGGTACACAAATCTAACGATGTCTTTTACAGGTCCCCCCCCCCACTAGCATTGTCTATCGTGAGGCCCCATTAGAAGTGTTGTCTTTAGCAGGGCCCCCACTAGCAGTATCTAGCACTAGGCCCCCATCTGTAACGTCTGTGTTAGGGCCCCCATTGAGAAGATGGCCTGTGGTTTTCCTCTGGCACTCCCTGCCTTTAGCCACGTAATACTTCAAGAACGCCCTGGTAGCGTTGTAGCCCCTCTGTCAACAAGAGACAAAACAATACATTTACAATCTCTCTAATCAATAGTTCGATACACTAGCAACTCTTGAGTGTGCCCTAGACGTCACCTCGAAGTATAGTAGAACAGATTAATCAAAAACACCGGCGTTTTCCTAGCACCTATTATTAGTTTAAAGGATTTGTCAAAACGGATCTAAAAGATAAATTAATTCTTGTTCTCGAGCAACTATTTTGATCAGCACTCACTAAACGCGTTGTTTTTTTTTCCTATTTAGATATTTTGTGTTACACCGAATCTCAATAACATAATATGAAGTAGTCAAGTTATTAAAATGTGTATTCCTTGAGCCCTGAAATAGTTTACGATGTCAAGCGAATAATTAAGTTCATATAATTAGTGCCAGCCTTTGTATGTCTTAAGAGTGGAACTGTAGTGACATTATCAAGTGTATACAACATTCTGTAAACACTTTCATACCTGAATCAGGAACTCTTTATCTGCCTCTTCCAGGGCATAATCCGAAGTTCCGATATGCCCTGTGTTGATGCCCACTGTCCTGAAGTCATCAGATTCCTGTAAGTGTTGAAATATGCCAAACGTGTTCGTAAAATTTCGTTTTTCAAATTAGATTTATGACTTGGAAAAAAACATATAAACATTTTGAGAATTAGATGCGTTAATTATCGAAATTAAACGAAAGTTTTGAGAATCAGATTGATGACATAATTTATACTCTTTCTTTCATCAACAACGAAGAACATAAGAAAGCCTTCCAAGAAATGGCAGTAGAACACTCGTTACATCCAACTAAATCTACTCTTCATCCACTCCAAACAACAGGCTATGTCTGACCTTAACTAATACAAGGGCTACATTTTACCTTAACCTAAACTAAAGCTACACTTAAAATTAACCAGTGCTTATGTCTATACCTCACATTAACCAACACAAGGGCTACACTTAAAATTAACCAGTGCTTATGTCTATACCTCACATTAACCAATACAAGGGCTACACTTAAAATTAACCAGTACTTATGTCTATACCTCATCTTAACCAATACAAGGGCTACACTTAAAATTAACCAGTACTTATGTCTATACCTCACATTAACCAATACAAGGGCTACACTTAAAATTAACCAGTGCTTATGTCTATACCTCACATTAACCAATACAAGGGCTACACTTAAAATTAACCAGTGCTTATGTCTATACCTCACATTAACCAATACAAGGGCTACACTTAAAATTAACCAGTGCTTATGGCTATAGCTCAGATTAACCAATACAAGAGGCTAAATATCACATTAACAAATACAAAGTCAACATCAGACCTTAACAAAGACATATTTGAGGTTGGTCAACATCGTGTCCATCAGAGCGGATAAAAAATCGCCCAAATTCTGGACGTCTCTTCTCCCAAATCCCTGGAACCTCGTCTGGAAATTTTATCAGATTTTTTTATGGAGTATGGATGTGGGAATATGGTGTTGTTGTATTTTTTTATAAAGTATGCTTTGAAATTATGATAATAAAAATATAAAATCTGCAAAACAATTTGTACGAGGACCTAAATGATTTGAAATGTTTTATTTTCTATCTAAAAACAAATGATTATGTTATATATATATATATATATATATATATATATATATATATATATATATATATATATATATATATATATATATATATATATATATATATATATATATATACGGCCACCATAACCTATGCTAAAGATAATTTAAAAATAATACATCAAAACATACAAAATGGACAGAACAAAAATATTTGTGGGAATATGGTGTTGTTGTATTTTTTTATAAATTATGCTTAGAAATTATGATAATAAAAATATAAAATCTGCAAAACACTTTGTACGAGGACCTAAATGATTTGAAATGTTTTATTTTCTATCTAAAAACAAATGATTATGTTTATATATATATATATATATATATATATATATATATATATATATATATATATATATATATATATATATATATATATATATATATACGGCCACCATAACCTATGCTAAAGATAATTTAAAAATAATACATCAAAACATACAAAATGGACAGAACAAAAATATTTTACCTGTAACCTGATTCCTTGTTCTTCAATAAATTGGACCAACTCTCGAAACTCTATCTAAAACAAAACAAATTTAAATTTCTGAACAAAATGAACAATGGTTGAACACCTCTAAAACACCTATATGGTACAGTACAAAAATTCTAAAGAAAAACAACCAATTACCTACCTGACCGTTCCCATCTTTGTCTAAAATTTTAAACGCCGCATCCACTCCCGCCCCTTCTCCAAACAGTAGTCTGATGTCATCTTCAGAAAACACGGCCCTCTGGGAACAAAGAACGACAGCAAATAACCTGCCGAGTCTCTTTAATTAGACTTACATTTAAAAAAAGGTACGTACACCACGTTAGCTGGACCGTATTAGTCATTAGTCAACAAAAAGTTACTATTACTCTCTCAAGAAATTCCTGAACTTCGATGTCTCTACATCGCCAAATGTGTTGCTAGAAAACATTACTGTCTCCTAGATTATAACGTTACTAATAAAACAAAACAATTTTTAAAATTTAATTAGAATATAAAAGAATTCCTTACGTCTTCAAGTGCATCCTGTAGTTTGTGTTTATCAATAAATTCATTGTCATCTAAATTGTGCTTGTTTAGTGCCTGTAGTGGTAATGATGAAGGTTAGGGTTTGTGTTTAAAGCTGATGGAACTACTGATTAAAGAAAATGGCGCTGTAAAAGTAATGTCCTAATAAAAATAGCTTTGTGAGTGTAGGCTTGGAGGGGAGTGTATGTGTGGGTGTGTGGTTATGTGTGAGTCAAATGAGGGTGTATGTGTGTCAGGATGGTCAGGTAGGTTCTTGTAGGTTCATACAAAAAGGACTATATAGAGCCACCCTAACCTCACATCTTGCATTAACAATATGTTGAACTCTTTAAGTCAAGACTAAATAAACTTATAACCATAAAAACAAACCTTAAACTAAACAAAAATAATTTCTAATCATGAAAGCTAAAATTGAAACCAAATATTGACCCATCAAGCCCTGACCTTCATGAAATTCTCCACGGCCTTGACGATCCGTCTGTGTTCACAGTCGGCTTTTCCTTTGGCAGCTTTTTTCGTCTGCTTCAGTCTGGGTAAAACACATTGGCTTATTTTTGTGTGAGTTGTGAAATCACATGTAAATGTGGTTGGTGCTAAGAAAACACAACTTGTGAAATCACATTTAAATGTGGTTGGTGCTAAGAAAACACAACTCTATAAAATACGACCTGTGTTGCCACTGTATAAGTGGTAAATAAGGAACCAATTGATAATCCCAAACAGACGGCCTAGAAGAGAATGTTTCCATTGAACCAAAACATGAGTGTAAACAAAGATTCAACTGGGACGGACATGGCACACGAGAGTTAGGTCTAGCGAAAAAAATTTCACAAGGAAAATTACAAGGCTAATTTAAATAAGACAGAAAATAACGTCAGGTAATGGCAGTGGCGGAACTAAAAAATAAGGGCCACCCCGCAAATAACTTTTTAGCCCCCCCCCCCCTATATATATAAATATATAGGCCTATATATGAAATATATATATATATATATATATATATATATATATATATATATATATATAATCACAAAATACAAAAATAGGATACTCATTGCTGGCCTGTTCGGGATTTGAAAAACATAAATTTTAAAAAATTTCAACATCAGGTCATGTGTGTATGTGCATAAAATCAGTTTTAATTAATTTTTGATAGATGCCCTCTTAACATCTAGTCGGTCAAAATAATGTAAACCATAAAAGCTTTGTTTAAGTACTGGTGTCTCGTGTTATGTTTATTTTTATGTTGTTTTTTTATTTATATTATTAATTTTTTAAATATTATTGATTTAATACATTTCCTTTTAATAGTATGTCATTCTTTAGTAATTACTTATAAAAAATAATTGAGAGTAGTAATTGGTTTTTAATTTGTTTTGTACAAATCTATTAAAAGGAGCTTATGATCACCCCTATTTGACTATTTTTAAAAAAAGGGAGTCATGGGAGTGGTTTGAACATTTGCTTATCTTTGTTAAGTTTAATTGTAGGAGAAAGACTCGGCTTTCGTAGTTTTTTAAAAACAAAGGGAAAAGGAATATACAAGAGCGTGGGGTGGTGTCTATAGAATAAAGATAATCCAACCGCAGCTACGGGATTTTTTTACAAAACAACCATCAAGTTAAAAATAAAAGAAAATTTACTTTTTTAAACTATAAATTTGTTTATTACGGTCGGCTCTGGGCCCCTAAATGGCGTGGGCCCCCCGCATTGCGGGGTCTGGCGGCACTGTAGTTCCGCCCCTGGGTAATGGATGGGTTTGACATTAGGAAAGGACCTATGGATGGCTGAGTGCAGGGGCGAGGGAGGGGGGGGGGGGCTTAAAGCTGAGGATGGCTGAGTGCAGGGTGGGGGGGGGGGGGGTAAAGCAGAGGATGGCTGAGTGCAGGGTGGGGGGGGGGGTTAAAGCAGAGGATGGCTGAGTGCAGGTTGGGGGGGGGGGGTTAAAGCAGAGGATGGCTGAGTGCAGGGTGGGGGGGGGGGTTAAAGCAGAGGATGGCTGAGTGCAGGGTGTGGGGGGGGTTAAAGCAGAGGATGGCTGAGTGCAGGGTGGGGGGGGGGGTTAAAGCAGAGGATGGCTGAGTGCAGGGTGGGGGGGGGGGGGGAAGCAAAGGATGGCTGAGTGCAGGGTGGGGGGGTTAAAGCAGAGGATGGCTGAGTGCAGGGTGGGGGGGGGGTTAAAGCAGAGGATGGCTGAGTGCAGGGTGGGGGGGGGGGGGTAAAGCAGAGGATGGCTGAGTGCAGGGTGGAGAATATAGCAGAAAAAATATCAGTGGCGCCGAGTCAGTCTACATAGACAAACACGACAGAAAGAAAAAAAGAAAGAAAGAAAAAAAAAGATGAGGAAGAAACAAACGATTATTTAAGCACTCAATAATAGTTTAACTTAAATTCTAAAATAATAATATAATTTTAATCTAGAATAGATTTAAACTTACTTAAAGCCCTGAATTTGCACATACGATAGAAAACAAAAGAACAATAGCCAGGGGCGGAACTACATTGCCGCCAGACCCCTCAATGCGGGGGGGGGGGGGGGCATGCCATTTAGGGGCCCACAGCCGACCATAAAAAAAATTTTATACTTAAAAAAAATAATCCACTTGCATTTTTGACTTCATGGTTGTTTTGTAAAAAAGATTACCGTAGCTGCAATTGGATTATCTTTATTCTATAGACACCACCCAACGCTCTTGTATATTCTATTTTCCTTTTGTTTTTAAACCACTGTGAAAGCCGAGTCTTCTTTCTCCTACGATCAAACTTATCAAAGATAAGCAGACTTCCATGACTAATTTCCCTTTTTTAAATATTTAAATAGTGGTGCTCATAAGCTCATATTAATAGATTTGTACTAAACAAATTAAAAAGCAATTACCTTTCTTAATTATTATTATTTTTTAAAGTACTTACTAAAGAATAACATTGTATAAAAAGGAAATGTATTTAAAATGAATAATTTAAATTTAAAAAAAAAACAAAATAAACATAACACGAAACACCATTACTTATACAAAGCTTTCATGGTTTATATCCTTTTGACCGACTAGACCAGGGGTCTCCAAATTACGGCCCGCGAGCCGGATGCGGCCCGCGAGGTCATCTCATCCGGCCCTCGGAGATATTTTTGTCCACGGAAAAAATGTTTGTTGTAGGTGGCTTTTGAAAAATGCCACCCCAATGATATACCTGAAAAGAAACTCTGGCCCCCGAACTTATATTTGATAGTTAATGCGGCCCTCGGGCTGAAAAGTTTGGAGACCCCTGGACTAGACGTTAAGTGGTCTTAAAGCACAGTTAAAACTCATTTTCACAAAACCACACTGATGCACTTACACACATGACATGATGTAATTTGTTGTAATTGAAAAAAAAACATTTTTATCAAAACCCGAATAGGCCAGCTATGCGTATCCTAGGTTCGTATTTTTTGTTTATATATACATATATATATATATATATATATATATATATATATATATATATATATATATATATATATATATATATATATATATATATATATATATATATATATATGGGGGGGGCTAAAATATTTTTTCGCGGGGTGGCCCTTTTTTTCTAGTTCCGCCACTGACAATAGCCTGTTTTTAAAAGGTGAAATAGCTAGCGATTTAAGCCACTATACGAATAACAAGGAAGATAACTTAGAATTGTCTAAGAAGGGAAACAACTCACTCAAACAATTTAGTTTGTTTACTTGGAGTTGCTGGTTCGTTACAGCCGTATCTGTGTTCTAGTCTGTACCTCATGATCTCCATCTCTACGTCATCATACTGGGAAAAACATGACATTTTACTCATCAAACTGGGAAAAACATGACATTTTACTCATCAAACTGGGAAAAACATGACATTTTACTCCTCAAACTAACTTCACATTTTACTCATCAAACTAAAATCACATTTTACTCATCAAACTGGGAAAAACATGACACTTTACTCATCAAACTGGGAAAAACATGACATTTTACTCATCAAACTGGGAAAAACATGACATTTTACTCATCAAACTGGGGAAAACATCACATTTTACTCATCAAACTAAAATCACATTTTACTCATCAAACTGGGAAAAACATGACATTTTACTCATCAAACTGGGAAAAACATGACATTTTACTCATCAAACTGGGAAAAACATGACATTTTACTCATCAAACTGGGGAAAACATGACATTTTACTCATCAAACTGGGAAAAACATGACATTTTACTCATCAAACTGGGAAAAACATGACATTTTACTCATCAAACTGGGAAAAACATGACATTTTACTCATCAAACTGGGAAAAACATGACATTTTACTCATCAAACTGGGGAAAACATCACATTTTACTCATCAAACTAACATCACATTTTCTTCATCAAACTGGGGAAAACATCACATTTTACTCATCAAACTAACATCACATTTTCCTCATCAAACTGGGGAAAATATCACATTTTACACACCAAACTAAGAGAAACATCACATTTTAATCATCAAACTGGGAAAAACATCACACTTTACTCATCTAACTAACATCACATTTTACTCATCAAAGTGGGAAAAACATCACACTTTACTCATCAAACTGGAATAAATTAACATACTAATATCAATAATAATTTTGATTATACTACAAGAATATCAGTGTTTTGTAATTTGGTGGTTTTAAAGACAGATCACATGAAATCCCCCTACATTTAACTGGATGGTTTAAATGTACCATCTACCTACCACAAGAAACCCCACTGTACATCTACCTACCACAAGAAACCCCACTGTACATCTACCTACCACAAGAAACCCCACTGTACATCTACCTACCACAAGAAATCCCAATGTATTTAACTGGGTGGTTTAACATCTACCTACCACAAGAAACCCCACTGTACATCTACCTACCACAAGAAACCCCACTGTACATCTACCTACCACAAGAAACCCCACTGTACATCTACCTACCACAAGAAACCCCAATGTACATCTACCTACCACAAGAAATCCCACTGTATTTAACTGGGTGGTTTAACATCTACCTACCAAAAGAAACCCCACTGTACATCTACCTACCACAAGAAACCCCACTGTACATCTACCTACCACAAGAAACCCCACTGTACATCTACCTACCACAAGAAATCCCAATGTATTTAACTGGGTGGTTTAACATCTACCTACCACAAGAAACCCCACTGTACATCTACCTACCACAAGAAACCCCACTGTACATCTACCTACCACAAGAAACCCCACTGTACATCTACCTACCACAAGAAACCCCACTGTACATCTACCTACCACAAGAAATCCCACTGTATTTAACTGGGTGGTTTAACATCTACCTACCACAAGAAACCCCACTGTACATTGTAATGACCGCTCTCCGACAGCCGCGGAGGGAGCGGACACCCCGGGTTCGTTTGGTATGGTACTGACAGAAGTCACACTAATGGAATCCCAACAACTTGCCGTGAGCTCGTCTAGGGGTAAAACACGACAAATCGAAGAGACTCAACACGACTTAAACTATCAATACCCTTTTAATAAATGTACAAGCTATGACACTAGGTCAGTACAAAATGAATAGACTTTAAGAGTACAATAAATAAACTTAAAAACTCCAACTTACAGTTTAAGAAAATCACAATGTATCACAGCTGTGGCTTAGTATATTATACACCAATAAAGATCATTACTTCACACAACTGAATGGCATCATAATTACCACAAAAAAACCAAGAAGAGACGTATTGCCTCTACAACAATAGAAATCCAAATAAAGGTCAAACTATCAGCGAAGTAATCAAAATGGTGCAATAATACACCAGAACAAAATATTAGAAATACTATAACTTGCCACACAATACCTTATACAAAGGTAATAAACATGTCACAAAATTACAATACTGAAAGGTGGCGCACATAACCACCGGCACAACTTTCCTGGTCCAAAGGTCAATCTGGCTGCCTTTAGACATGAAAAAACCCGAGATTAAATACAACTCAGATTTAGGGGAAATAACTCAAAAGTCTTACGAATATTGGTTGAGGATCTATCAAGGATCCTCACGGTCGCAAGACCATTGGTTGAGGATCTGCCAGGGATTAAAAATACCTACCACAAGAAACCCCATTGTACATCTACCTACCACAAGAAATCCCACTGTACATCTACCTACCACAAGACACCCCACTGTACATCTACCTACCACAAGAAACCCCACTGTACATCTACCTACCACAAGAAATCCCACTGTATTTAACTGGGTGGTTTAACATCTACCTACAACAAGAAACCCCACTGTACATCTACCTACCACAAGAAACCCCACTGTACATCTACCTACCACAAGAAACCCCACTGTACATCTACCTACCACAAGAAACCCCACTGTTTTGTTACTTGGTGGTTGAAAGAACTGAGACTTCAAGTACGGTAACTCTATCAGAGATTTCACACGGTGCATGAACGAATCTTCTTTAGCCATTGATAGGTACCACCCTGGAATAGATGACAGGATTGTAGTTTAGTATGGGGTTAAAGTAAATAGATATGTAGTGCAGGGTAGGTGCAGGATAATAGAAGAAATTGAGTGTGTTCAATGCCGGTAGTAGGAACCAATTTGGTTGTTTCCCTGGAATAAATAAAATGCATTGATACATACAGTAGTTATTCGAAAACAAAACACTATCTTATGTATTTAATACTTTTACAAAAACTTCAAACAAATCACGTTTTTATTTAAAGTTATTAAAATAGTGGTGCATTATTGTATACTCGCGATCCCGTCCCGCGCGTTGCTGTGGTCTCAGAATTAAGAAACAAGTTATGGTACATTCAATTGGCATTTTTATTCAAACGTATTAATTCTTTTAAAATGAAAATATGATGAAATTCAATTTACATTTGAATTCAAACACATTAATATCACTAATGGTGTATTTTGAGACTCATTATCTTACTTTCTAAAGAAACTAAACAAGAAAGGAGAGAGCCGACTCAGAGGCTTTGAAAGAAGATCCCTGAACGCGTCCTCAGAATAAAGTGGGACCACCAAGCCCCGAACAAGGAAACACTACGAAGGACAGGATTAAACGACGTTGTTTCAGAAGTTCGAATGAGGAGATGGAGATAGCTGGGCCATGTCCTACGCATGAGCAAAAGAAGGCTCCCCAACATGGCGCTGAAGTGGACTCGCCTGGAAAGCGAAAGAGAGGAAGACCACTGGGAACATGGAGGAGAGAGATGGAAGAAGAAGTGCAGGCTACTGGCAAGAAATGGCATGAATTAAAGTGGCTCGCCCAAGACAGAGTGGAATGGCGGAGATTTGTTGCTGCCCTATACTCCACAGAGAGTGATGAGGATTAAAAAAGAAAGTAATCTTACTTTCTGATTGGATCATGAAAAAAAAAGAAGATTTGCGACATTCTCAAAGTGAAGAAACTCTACAGGATTGTTTCTTTAACATGTTAAAATTTATTATTAGACGTTTCTTCAACGCCATGTGACAGATGCAATTTGTTAGCTAATAGGAATTTTTCAAATGCGAGATGTATTGTCATTGGATCTTGACCGATGTGTCAAGTTTTTAAGAAATTGGTCTGTTAGAAATTATATAAATTTTGCTCACCAGTTTCGATTCATGGCGACAGATAGAAAGAAAAAGTAAGTTAAATAAAAGCTTCTAATAATAGAAACAAACTAATTATTTAAATAGTATCTTCAAAAGAGTGAACGAAAAACAAATCCCTATAACTAACGTATGGACAAGATACACGAAGGTAACACAACTGACCATCAAAACAGTGTATCGGGTAGTTACACAGGAGACCACCATCAACATACGTGTCCGTTCGACCGTGGTTGTCATAGAAACGGGCAGTAAATAAACCTTTAAGGTGGCATGAAACAAAAAAAACAAAAATCAAATAAAGCAATTAAATTTTTACAAAAAAAATATTAAAAACTTAATTTGCGATTGCAATTAATTTTCGTTCCTTTAAATTAGGGTATTTAGTGGGTTTATTAATCTTATCAGGATATTATTGTACTTTTAATCTGTACTTTTACCATTCATTTACGATTCTCGTGATATTTTATGTAATGCTAATACAGCAAATATGTATAATCTTTAATTTAATAAACAGGGGGGTGATCTCCCCTAAACTTTCTCGAATATTCTTACATAACTTGGAATATAGACATGATTTTTAATTACTTAAACTTTTAAAAAAGAATAGAATCTCATAGAAAAAAGATTTGCGCACCAAGCGAACGCCAGAACGAAATGTGCATTAAAGTGCGCAATATTATTAGTACTTTATAAATTTACATGCGTTTTTTGAGAAATCGGAAATAGCGTAAATTAGTACTTCCGTTCAACGAAAATTACTCAAAATTTGAAAGAAGGTAGAGAATTAGATAATTTACTTACATGTAAAATTTCATTTATCTATCTGAAATAGTACTCAATTTATAGGCTTTTGAAAAATTCAAAGTTGAAAAAGTACCACTTCCGGTTATTGGAAATTGCACAAAAGTGGATACGGATCTACGATTTTGATAAAATAGTTATATATGAAATTTCATCAACCTAGCTGTAACGGTACTCAAGTTATCGTGTTTACACACACACAGACAGACACACAGACAGACACACAGACATACGGACAAGATTGCAAAATTATGTTTTTCCGTATCAGTGATGTGTAAAACGTCGAGATTTGATAAAATCTCGATTTTTTTTATTTATTTTTTTGCACGATTACAAGACTTTCTCTATACTTCATATAATCGAGAAAGTAAAAACTATTTTAGCGTCGAATTCTTTCACATCAAATTTATTTTATTTTTTATATTTTATTTCTACAACTTTTTAAAAGCTTATTATTACAATGTTTTTTTTTTTTCAAATTTGATGTATTTCAGCATGTCACGTTTTTCCGGATTTGTTCTCGACTTACCTATTTATTTTTATATTTACTCTATTTAGTTTTAGTTCTTGGTTGATGAAACGCGTTTATATATACTTGTTAATTCTTTTTTTTTTATAAAAACCTTAACCGACCTGGCAAAGCCATTGACATGCGCACTGCTTCCCTTATCGGCATATCCGGTGTAGTTTTGGGGTGGCAGTACTCACTCCTCATCTGGTTCAGATTGGTGACTACAATACATAGCTCAACTCTACGTTCTCTGTACAACTGTAGACATGAGTTGGGTTGGGTTAGGGTCAAGGTTGATTAGACTAAGTGACTACAATACACAGCTCCACTCTACGTTCCCTGTACAACTGTAGATATGGGTTGGGTTAAGATGGGTTGGGTTAGGGTCAAGGTTGATTAGACTAAGTGACTACAATACACAGCTCAACTCTACGTTCCCTGTACAACTGTAGACATGGGTTGGGTTGGGTTAGGGTCAAGGTTGATTAGACTAAGTGACCACAATACACAGCTCCACTCTACGTTCCCTGTACAACTGTAGACATGGTTTGGGTTGGGTTGGGTTAACGTGGGTTGGGTTAGGGTCAAGGTTGATTAGACTAAGTGACCACAATACACAGCTCCACTCTACGTTCTCTGTACAACTGTAGACATGGGTTGGGTTAAGATGGGTTGGGTTAGGGTTATGATGGGTTTGGTTGGTAAGAACAATACACAGCAACAGCCTACGTTCTTTGCACAGCGTAAAGTTGGATACGGGACAAGATGGGGTTAGAGGAGGTTAGAGGGGATTAAAGGGGGTTAGTGGGGGCTAGAGGGTGTTAAGCAGAGTTAAACTAAACGTAAAACAAATAACAGCAAAGAAGATTTCTCTAAACAACGAAAACTTTTCTTACATCATAGAAAGTCATGTCGGGGTTCGCTGTCGAAGACTTTTCTTTGATCATTTCACCGCACCAATCAGAAAACCTGTCGCCAGGATTCCAGCCAAACTTGCTCAGGAGGTTGGGCAGAAGGCTGAAGTACCCGCAGGAGTGGTCTAAGGGTGGACACGACACCAGAACATGTCACGTTAGTGGTAGTGTGACCAGCAAAACACACATTTGTATAGTAATTTAACTTTGGCTAAACAAGTTCCTTCTGCAATCTACAACTTCTCGTCAATGGTCTAGCTAGGCGCAAAGACGTCAGACACAGGACCTCAAAGTCCTACAAGACGTCGCGAACTCACCTAAAAATATCTCCCCAAGATCATCCGACATGAAAACTTCTATATCGCAGGAACTGTAACCCAGGGCTACCAGTGTTGCGGTTATTGCCCCTGCACTACTTCCACCAAACCTTCGAATTCCTGGCATCATTCCTATTTCCTCAAAGTACTGAAACACACGTACAAAGTTCAAGAACTTTCGTAAGTAATCAATTATCAATCAAATAAATGCATGTCAATCCTAAACAAGTAGCTGTCTTTAATTTAACTCTGCACCCCCACAGTTTCACAACATCATATCAGCAACTCTCTAATGGGTTCTACGAGTAATGCTCTAATGATACTTGCACGAATGGACGTTTGCATTTATTGAACAAATGCCCGAATGGACATTTGTACTGTTTGGGGAAAATGCCCGAACGAACGTTTTCACAAATAGAAAACATGCCCAAACAGAAGCTTGCAAGGTTTGAACAAAAACCAGAAAGAACGTTTCATAAGTGGGATAAATATCCCACATAGACTTTTGCCAGAAGGAAATCTATCCTCACCTTTATACCACCTACATAGGCGAGTCCCTTGTTGCCACCTCCCTCAAAGATCAGATTCTCGAACGGAAACAGGAAGTCTTCGGGAAGAATTTCCGCGTATTTCGGTGGGGTCTCTATAAAAACATTTTTTTTTTTAAATATTTTAAAATTTTCTAATTTTGCTAATAACTTAATCTAAAAAATCTAAAAACTTAATCAAAAAACTTAATCTATCTAAATACTTAATCAAAAACTTAATCTAAAAACTTAATCTAAAACGTTGATGTTTTAGGGCTACAGTTAACCTGTGACTTCAATGAATTCGGTGTCAGTGACGTCATCTTGAGACTGCTCCCAGACCAGGTCCTCTCTCTCCTTCAGCATCGCCAGATACCTGGAGATAATAGGTTTGTTGGTTAGCCGTACCGTGTGACCTTATGTCGTTGTTGAATAGCCGTACCGTGTGACCTTATGTCGTTGTTGATTAGCCGTACAGTGAGACCTTATGTTGTCAGCCGCACCGTGTGACCTTATGACGTCGTTGGTTAGCCGTACCGTGTGACCTTATATCGTCCAGTCTTGTATTGATCATTCCTTTTGTTGATTTTATCAAGAGGGTCGTACTGGTGGCAGATAAACTACACGTTTAGAGATGTTTTTTTTTATTTTATTTCACAACTACGACTTGATTGGTTAGATTAGGTTTCAATTAGCTCAATGTGGCTTTGGTGAACTAATTAAAATATAATTAACGAGCCGACCCGCGGCATATCATACGCCGCTATTTAGTTGTTTTTTCTACTTTTCAGTAATTCATAATTTTGTGAATTCGACAGTACCAACGCTGCCACTGAAAATATTTGGTTGAAAACACTATAAGTAGCTCGTTTAGGACGATACCCCCCTCTTCCCACCCCCTCCGTTAAAGTGAACTCCACTTAGTTACCCCCTCCCCCTACGTTTAAAATCGGTTCAAACTAAATTATCTGTCCCTAATAGTCGTCACTAACCCCGGCTCTGCTTGTAAACATTTAGAGTGAACACAGCTCACTAAGACCATGTAGGGGTGGGGGTGGTAGGGAGCGCGTTTACAACTTGTTTTCTAGCGTCTCCCAGAAGATAATTATATATATATATATATATATATCAGTGGCGTAGCGAGGTCGGGTGTCACCCGGTGCTGCACTTAATGGTGTCACCCCCCCCCCCAGAGGCGCTGAGACCCTTCCCGGGGACAAACTTTCAAGTTTTCGATTTGCACCCACCCCCTCAAACTTTCGATTTACACCCCCCTCAAGTTTTTGATTTGCACCCCCCCCCCTCCTCAAACTTTCGATTTGCACCCCCCCCCCAGTTTTTTATTTGCACCCCCCCCCCACTCAAACTTTCGATTTGCACCCCCCACCCTCAAGTTTTTCTCTATATAATTTGCTATTTTTTGCCTTGGTGTCACCCCTCTTAATGGTGTCACCCGATGCGGTCCGCACCCCCCGCCCCCCCCCCCTCGCTACGCCCCTGATATATATATATATATTGGCTAATTTCAATCAGGGTTACCTCCTCTTCTCTTCCAGGTGTGTGTACTGTGTTTGTGTCAACGGTTCTTCATGTACACTTCTGTTGTTTCCCATGGTTTCTGCAGCTGCCTTCAACAGACAAAATAACGAGATCATCAAAGAATGACACAGACATTTGGTTAGATCTGGACCCTAAATACATACAATAAATTTTAGTCATTATTCGAAGGGTGCAGCATTTTATCCAGGTAATGTGATTGGATAGATTTTAAAACTGCATGACACTCAATTTAAGTAAGATTTGAGAACAGAGTTTCTTCCAGGCATCTCTTCGGGGGGGGGGGGGGCAAAGAATTTTTTTTACCGCCCCCCCCCCCCCCGAACGAAATGAAATTTATATAATTTATATAGAAAATATATACTTTTAACAGGGTCCGCCCCCCCCCCCCCGAAGAAAGTCTACCGCCCCCCCCCCCGGAAAGTTCAAGTGCCCTCCGGAGAAAAAAGTCTGGAAGAAACACTGTTTGAGAAACAGGACAGGGTGAGGACAACTCTACTGAAAACTAGCGTTTGAGTTGTCGTACATGATAATTTGGTCAAGACATTAAAGAAGATTGAGATCAGCATCACTATTTGCGATATTATAAGGTTGATGCTTGTTACAGTCTTCGTCTGAATTTTGAAGATTAATTTTTTTTAAATTCTAGAAACAAATAGAGTGATATTGTTCCATAAACAGGATAACAAAAAAAAATAAAACGTATTATTCAGTCAATCAAAACATTTATTTATTACTTACCGTAAAAATTTTTTAACTTAAAGTAAAATTATAGATCACTTTCACCAACGTATAGTAAATTTACCCTTCCACAATTGTGAATACTGTTGACAAATAATACAGTTATGTAAAAACAATCCAACTTATATACAGACTTGTCAAAATATCACTGGAAAATCGCAGCCTTTTTCTTATAACCTATAGACATCCTAATTACCATAATGAAACTTTTACAACGCAAATGATCTGTTTGCATTTAATCAAATACCAGATGTTGAAAATAGGTTGTTTGCATACATCAAAAATACTAGTCTACAGTAAGTTGTTGATCTTTTAACCTAGTTTAGTCGGTACTAATGGTACGCCCACTTTACAGCGGCGCGGGTTACTCTGGGGAGGGGGGGGAGCATTTTATTGCAGAAAACGTGATGATTCATCATGGGCAAAAAGGGGAATAAGTTCCTACCGTCGATAGAGAAAGATAAAATACTTTAAAAAAACTTTTTAAAAAACCACGTTTTTCTTGTGGACTAAAAAGTAGAAAATAACTATTTACATACATTTGATGACAAAAAACGTGGGTACGTTCACCATCAAATTTCCCGACCCATCTGCCCGACCCACGTTTTTTGTCATCAAATGTATGTAAGTAGTTATTTTCTACTTTTTAGTCCACAAAAAAAAACGTGGTTTTTTTAAAAGTTTTTTTTAAGTATTTTATTTTCTCCTTTTTAGTCCGTTGCTACACATGAAAAACGTGGTTTTTAAAAAAAGTTTTTTATATAGTTTATTTTCTACTTTATCCAATGACTTGATTAAGTATGACTTGACTAAGTGTTTATAAATACACGAACTAAAAATCTTGAGCGACCAGGATTCGAACATGGGTTGTCGCGGCCACAACGCGAAGTACTAACCACTATACGATAACGGCCAGCGCGCTCACATCGATTGGGGCCGAAGTAACTGTGTCAATAGGCCTTCAGTCTTGTCGGTATCTTTAGAAATCATGTCCTCAATTTTATGGTCCTTAGGGCGTAATTAAATTAAGCTAATTACGGTCTCTAATTGCTAGTTTTTATGATTGCATCTGAAATTGTTAGGCGAAAGTAGCCTGCATGCAAAATTTCAGATCTATAGAGCAATCAGAAGTGGGCTAATTTTCGATGTCAATTTTAACAACAAACAAACACACGCGAAGCTGAGTTAATAGTAAAATACTTAAAAAAAAACTTTTTAAAAAACCACGTTTTTCTTGTGGACTAAAAAGTAGAAAATAAATTTTCATACATTTGATGACAAAAAACGTGGGTACGTTCACCATCAAATTTCCCGACCCATCTGCCCGACCCACGTTTTTTGTCATCAAATGTATGAAAATTTATTTTCTACTTTTTAGTCCACAAGAAAAACGTGTTTTTTTAAAAAGTTTTTTTTAAGTATTTTATTTTCTCCTTTTTAGTCCGTTGCTACACATGAAAAACGTGGTTTTTAAAAAGTTTTTTATATAGTTTATTTTCTACTTTATCTAATCACTTGATTAAGTATGACTTGACTAAGTGTTTTTAAATACACGGACTAAAAAAATCTTGAGCGACCGATACGCTTTAAACAGAGAAAGGGTGTAATTTACGTTGCTGGCGTGGAGATCTACTCACGAATCACGTGATCAAATCTCCCATAAACAAACAAATAAACGCGAAGCTGAGTTAAGGAAAAACGTGTTTATGTGTATTTTAGCATGCCCAGCGTACCAACCGTGTCACCGTTAACAATGTGTCACCGTGTCCGTTCTCCTTTTTAGTCCGTTGCTACACATAAAAAACGTGGTTTTTTTTTAAAGTTTTTTTTAAGTATTTCATTTTCTCCTTTTTAGTCCGTTGCTACACATGAAAAACGTGGTTTTTAAAAAAGTGTTTATAAATACACGGACTAAAAATCTTGAGCGACCAGGATTCGAACCTGGGTTGTCGCGGCCACAACGCGAAGTACTAACCACTATACGATCACGGCCAGCGCGCTCACATCGATTGGGGTCGAAGTAACTGTGTCAATAAGCCTCCAGTCTTGTCGGTATCTTTAGAAATCATGTCCTCAATTTTATGGTCCTTGGGGCGTAATTAAATTAAGCTAATTACGGTCACTAATTGCTAGTTTTTATGATTGCATCTGAAATTGTTAGGCGAAAGTAGCATGCATGCCAAATTTCAGGTCTCTAGAGCAATCAGAAGTGGGCTAATTTTCGATGTCAATTTTAACAACAAACATCCAAACAACCAAACAAACAAACGCGAAGCTGAGTTAAGAATAAAAATACTTAAAAAAAACTTTTTAAAAAACCACGTTTTTCTTGTGGACTAAAAAGTAGAAAATAACTATTTACATACATTTGATGACAAAAAACGTGGGTACGTTCACCATCAAATTTCCCGACCCATCTGCCCGACCCACGTTTTTTGTCATCAAATGTATGTAAATAGTTATTTTCTACTTTTTAGTCCACAAGAAAAACGTGGTTTTTTAAAAAGTTTTTTTTAAGTATTTTATTTTCTCCTTTTTAGTCCGTTGCTACACATGAAAAACGTGGTTTTTAAAAAAGTGTTTATAAATACACGGACTAAAAATCTTGAGCGACCAGGATTCGAACCTGGGTTGTCGCGGCCACAACGCGAAGTACTAACCACTATACGATCACGGCCAGCGCGCTCACATCGATTGGGGCCGAAGTAACTGTGTCAATAGGCCTAAAGTCTTGTCGGTATCTTTAGAAATCATGTCCTCAATTTTATGGTCCTTGGGGCGTAATTAAATTAAGCTAATTACGGTCACTAATTGCTAGTTTTTATTATTGCATCTGAAATTGTTAGGCGAAAGTAGCATGCATGCCAAATTTCAGGTCTCTAGAGCAATCAGATGTGGGCTAATTTTCGATGTCAATTTTAACAACAAACATCCAAACAAACAAACAAACGCGAAGCTGAGTTAAGAAAAACGTTTTAAAAACGTGTTAAAAACGTGTTAAAAATGACATACGGTGGGAAGTGTTCAGTAGTCAAGTGGCGACGTCAATGGACCCGAACGCTAGACTGTACACACGAACGCTAGCCTGTACACACGAACGCTAGCCTGTACACACGAACGCTAGACTGTACACACGAACGCTAGCCTGTACACACGAACGCTAGACTGTACACACGAACGCTAGACTGTACACACGAACGCTAGACTGTACACACGAACGCTAGCCTGTACACACTTGATCCTCGTCACTCCCTGTGGAGTACAGGGCAGCAACAGTACACAACCAATGTGTTAGGATTTAAGAACTGATTTACAATGTTTTTCAGTTGGTGAAATTATATAACGAAAATTAAAGTCCGCATATAATTTTGAATTTTAATCATGATCGTATTTAGGTCCCCTAAATGCCCCTTCTCGCAATATCTTATGGCGCACGTTTAGCTCTGCCGTATATAGTTCCCCCCTTCTTCTTTTTTTCCTACTAGCGCGATCAGCGTAAATATTTTCAGCGTCACGCTTCACTGAACAAAAACACAGACCCGTGCCGTGGTGGGTTTCAGGTGGAGTAGGTATAGCTCTGTTGTTGTAGGTGTTACACTGTTGTGGGTGTTACACTTTTGTTGTTTTTGTAGGTTTAGCTATGTTCTTGTATATGTAACACTATTGTTGTAGTTGTAACACTGTTGTTATAAATGGCACCCTATTGTAGGTGTCACACTGTCGTTGTAAGTGTTACACTGTTGTTGAACGTGTTACACTATTGTAGGTGCTACACTGTCGTTGTTGTAAGTGTCACACTGTTGTTGTAAGTGTTACACTATTGTAGGTGTTACACTGTCGTTGTAAGTGTCACACTGTTGTTGTAAGTGTTACACTATTGTAGGTGTTACACTGTTGTTGTAGGTGTTACACTGTTTTTGTAGGTGTTACACTGTTGTAGGTGTTACACTGTTGTTGTAGGTGTTACACTATTGTAGGTGTTACACTGTTGTTGTAGGTGTTACACAGTTGTTGTATGTGTTACACTGTTGTTGTATGTGTTACACTGTTGTTGTAGGTGTTACACAGTTGTTGTAGGTGTTACACTATTGTATGTGTTACACTATTGTAGGTGTTACACTGTTGTTGTATGTGTTACACTATTGTAGGTGTTACACTGTTGTTGTAGGTGTTACACAGTTGTTGTATGTGTTACACTGTTGTTGTATGTGTTACACTGTTGTTGTAGGTGTTACACAGTTGTTGTAGGTGTTACACTGTTGTAGGTGTTACACTGTTGTTGTGGGTGTTACACTATTGTAGGATGTTACACTGTTGTTGTAGGTGTTAC